CACACACACACACACACACACACACACACAACCTTAGAGGTGCATTAACGAACACATTGTTCCTGGCTGGGTGTCCACGTCCTGGCATCTGGCAGTGATTGATGCTCTATCACAGGCCATCCTGCCAATGGATGTGACAGATACATTTTGCAGGCTTCATCCACAGACTGCATACAACACCAAAAATTCCAGACTGTGTCAGCATCACATCATCACCCTTCCTCTGCCACCCGATTGGCTATTACCCTCACATCCTAGTTTGGCCGGCTGTCGATCTTGTACCAGGCCTGTCATTGGCTACAAAGCTGACATGACAACCAGTGACATTGCTCTGTGTGGGTCTTGATATTCAAAGACTGCGACTGGTCACTCCTGTGTCCACAATGCAGTTTGTTTTTCTATATGACAGAAGGAAGGATATATTTTCTCTAAACATTGCTCATTGTGTTGAAACAAGTATGGTACGTTTGAATGGGTAGGTGTGTGTCTAGTAGAGAGCTGAAGAAGAAAGAAATGTAAATCTAGATTTACCCAATTATCGAGAAGCCAAGACTTATTTTTTCTCAGAGTAAACAGAGCTTCTTCTAAATAAAACTGCAAACTTCAACATTTAGAATATACTGTCAGCAACTGCAGCTTTAGTAGCCTTGATTCGGCGGCTACAATATGCAAATAGAAGTGAGGAGCTGCTTTAATGGGTTTTATTTTCAGGCCTCAAGGCGCTGAAACCTAGAATACCGACTTTAACTTGCTGATGTATAATTTTTCTGCCTTGTGTTTGTAGCAGTAAAAGTGCCATGTTATACAAAGAGAAGAAAAATAAAGTTTGTCTTCATCCTAAAGGCTAGATTGCCACATTTAGCAGACACAATTTTGTTCAAGCCAAACCCATTTTTGGAAGAGAAAGGGACCTCAGGATGATGGTTGCTCATCTGCCAAAGTGCCTGGTTTGGTAGCTGTAGCAGCCAGCTGCAGACTGAATTTGCAATTCATTACTTGCCTCCTGGCTAAATTTAATGAGTTATCCTTTGATAATATTGATTAAAAACTAGGAATAAGTTCCTTAATGCTAAGGCCAGCTGGTGTTAAAGAGGAACTCTGAATGACTTTACACTCAAGGTTCTGACTTGGATTTGGAGACTGCACATTTAAATCCAAATAAACAAACACTGCGGTTAATACATTTGCTACAGTTATTAACAGATGCTGCACTGATCAATCACAGTTTTTAAATCTGTCTTTTGAGGTTAATGTGAAAGTCAGACCCAAACCTGTCTGGGCCGTACAGGGGACTTGAATTGAAGAGGAGGACGTTGTTTGGGAGTTTATATCAATATTTGTTGAAGATGTAGTGACAGACTTGGCCGTTAGACACAACAAATGTTAAGCATCCTTAAGCATAAGTCCATAGTAATTGAGGAGCATTACTACACTGCCGCTGGTGTAGTAATGCCAGCATGTTGTTGGTGGAAACATTGATTTGGTCATGGTGGTCATGAGGAGATGTTGGGTTGCATGATAATAGGTTTTCAAGACTAAATGACAGAATTGCAACCAGACCATGACTGGTGAGGAATGTGGCCACAAAGATCATTGGTGAGGGAGCTGTGTCTGTTGAAGCAGTGGTGATGGAGGAAAAATAGAACAGGACAGAGTAGCAGAGATTTACCTACAGAGGAACAAATAAAAAAAGAGGGACCCTCCCTGCTGAGCTTTATTCTTCATTTGTTGGATTACTTAGGAATAAAGGAGGCCGTGATTCCTCGGGTACTTAATGGAAGAATCTGAATATGCTGCATCAAGGTGGAGGGTGGCGGTGACACGATACCCTGCAGGCCTTCAAGTGAACCACAGCCACAGTAGAAACAAACAATAACATTCTTTCTCAGACTTGATGAGTCTTGATGACACATTCAATGCTGTGAATCATGTTTGAGCGAGGCAGTGTTGATTAATGAGCCAAAGGCAGCGTTGAATAGGTGATTATCACACACACACACACACACACCGAAGCTTCTCTGTCTTAATGAGACGCAGTCCAGAAAAGTGTTTATTTTTAAGCGCATATGCCATTATCAGAAACAGCATGTGTATTCATACATATATTTCCTCACACACATTTGTGCACACAGGTCTGCAATGCATGCAGGCTCACACTGTTATTTTCACTCATGTGTCAGTAATGCAGAGTGTTTCATCCTGTTCTCCTCTCTTTGTTAGGCTTGGTGTTTGAGCAGCTCCTGGTTCATGTACACTGTTTTGTACTTCCGCCTTGATGAGCCCTAAAGGCGACAAAAACACAACAACATCACTACCTCCCAGCTCGTGCCCTCCTCCTCCTCCTCCTACAACACATTATTTGCCTAACCCTCACTGCTGCAATTAAAGAGCTTACTATCTCCT